ACTGTTTCAATGCATAACAGAACATTTCCATCTATGTGTCCATGTATAGGTTGTATGTAAAAGATGCCAATCCTTTAAGCAACACAATAAACTAAAAGGTAAACCTATAAACCATTCGGCTACAGGTGAGCATGACGAACTATATAATGGAAAAATAGTATCTTCCTGATTTAACATTACCACAAAAAACAGACAATTTGTTTCATAAAGCACATAAAATACATTAAATAATACTTATAATAATATATTTACACTTAAAATGTTTACTTAAAAGACGGTAAATGAATATAAAAGGTGGAAAGAGGCGATTGATTTCGATTGGACACTCCAAACATCATCAGACCCAATAGGCGAATCTACCTTTGATTTTATTTTATATTTTTTTACCACCTTTATATGTATTTACCGTCTTGTGAGTAAACAGTAAAAGTGTAAATATATTGTTATTTGACGTATTTTATGTGCTTTCAGGTAACTTAATGACACGTACGATGCTGATCAAGAAGTTATTTAATTTCTTTCCATAAAAAGAATGGTAAAAAATATTCATTTTCTTTAACATATTCAAATATGCAATAAACGTTTTATACTTGTGTGCACGTTAAACCACAAAACGCGGTTGCAGGTCTACGAGTAAGCTTCTTCCTAGTTTAGATAATCTCTCTATTTAGCCTGAGTTTATCACAACAGCGATTCCTGCCTCGGAAATTTCATTACGTAGCCAAGTCTGCAAGCAGTGTATATTGCGCATTATTATTCATAGAGTAAGCCAGCGTTAACTTTTAGTGGCAACAGGGGAAATCTTTTAGCTGATTAAATCTGTTTGAACGCATTTTAACATCTCTATCTGCTAGCTGCATTCTTGAATACAAATCGACCTACATTTCTTTATAAACTTAGTTACGGAATTTATTATTATTAAAATTAGTTCTTACTAAATTTTTGTACGTCTATCTACACCTTAATTATCTTTCGTTTTTTGTAAGAGAACGATCCAAACCCTGGTCTCCTTACAATCTAGCGTCGACCGTTTACTAGGTAGCAATTATTTCAATGACAAATTCCATCTGGATCTGAAAACCATTTCGTTTGGAACCAAACCAGCGACCTTCAGATTTGATGGTTAACATTCCTAGGTACTACTCGGCTACCCAACAATAAAGTAGTATGTATTAATAAGAGGGGATCGGTATAGTTTGTATTTAAAACAGTAGTATACAGTAATACATAATTTAAAAATTGTTAAGAAGAAAAATAAGTAAAACTATTACTTTGAATCCTATGTTTTTGTTTGAATACAGAACACAATTTATTTGTTTGACACAATTCATTTGTTTGAGGATACAAATTTCATGATTAAATAAATTTGAATTTTATGTATTTATATTTAAGACTTTAGATACTTAAAGGTATTCCCAACTATATAGACGAAATTGAGTCAGATATTTTCAACCGATTCAAGGTTAGAGTTCAAGGATGCTTTTATAGAATTAAACTACCATATTTCTCTTTCAGTTTTTGGTACCCGTTCCGTTGAACTTCGTACTTTTAATAGTACAAACAGTAGTGATTGGATAAACTAATTATTGTAAAGTAAATGTTTTCATACTTTATCGGAAAAAGTAAATAGTTTAACATCATACTGAGCATATAGTAACTATGTACAAAAATAAAAAAATGTATCCCTCCAGTAGGTTGTCTATGAACACTCTCTCAAAGTAAATATATTCAATGCATTCATAAACAGTTAAAGGAGGGACAACAATCTAAGTAGCTGTCTATAAAGGGTCTAATGGTAAGATCAACAACAGTAGAGTAGAGCAGTCAGTAATGGAGTGGCTTCTTAGATAGTTCTGTCAACACCCTTCCTTCAAAAGGAACTGACTCTCAGTTCATCTAGAATCTAAAACGTTTTATCGCATCCTTCTTTGCTGAATCTGAATGTTTTTGTAGTGTTTTATGTACAATAGTTTGTGAACAATCATTGCTTCTCACATTGATCATTTTCAACTCCACCATAGTAGTAAATTTAAACAAAACCTATACTGTGCTAGGATTATTGAAGCATAAAGAATTTGTGATGTTTCATCATAAGGTACATAGTTTATTATGTACTTTTAACTAAAAATGTTTTGCACAGGAAGCTTATTAGACATGTCTTACAGACACTAATATTTTTACTACAGCTCGGTACCGAGTGGATTTAGAGTTCTCGCGTTTTGTGAAATAATTTTGCTTTGGTCCTAAGTATATTCGCCGTTTTTGTAATCCTGGACCTAGTTTTTCTTGATAACTGGGTTTTAAAATTGCCCTGGCTAAAGAAGGGGCTGTTCTTAGCCAGTAACACAGCTGTAATCATGCACATTTAAATCTATTGCTTAATACATACCCACAAAAATATAACAACTATCAAGAAATCCCTACCTAATAAGCTTTCCAATATTTATTTCAGCATAAACGGAACGATTTGTTCCAAGTGTGTCGAGGCTTTGTGCCACAGTTGCAGGCCCGGGGGAGCAATATGTTGCCACAAGTCAGACGGTATCCACACCTCATCTGTCACAACTCTTGTGTTGTTGACGGACCAATCCTCGCTTTATTCTCAAAGCGATTGGGTTTTGTCTTGAGGATAAGCTAGTTTTATCTTCATTTAAAGTGACAAATGCTATGTATGATCTTAAACCTTTAAAATTGTGGTATATAAATTTCCTTTAGATTTGTGTATGATTTGTCACTTAAATTATAATTATTATAAGATAAATATAATTGTTTTATTAGTAGGCTTTCAATTCTAATTTTGGATTTAATGAATCATCTTCTATACTATTATATAAAAATATAATGGTGTCTGTCTGTATGTGTGTTACTAATAGGTGCAAAAACTACTGAACCAACTGGGCTTAAATTTTACAAAAATATAGTTACCATACCAAGGACCATTATAGGACTATTTACATTTCGATACTGACCGTAGGCTTTGCCCCTTTGGTTTTAAAAGTTCCGAGGTGAACATTTTAAAAGTAAATATTGATTGGTCTCCATGACTGCGATGAGAACACTAACAATGTTTGTTTACATTTGCTTTGACATTTAAATGTAAACAAGAAGAACTGCTAAACTGCATATTTCACAATTTCAGACACCTGATACAAAGAAATTTAATATAATATTTTCCATAACTACGTAGGTTTATTTTAATCTAACCTTTTATCATGGATTATTTATTCTAAAACTATGTCAATGATTATAGAAAAAAAAGATTCTATAACCGTTGCTGTATCAACTCCGGCTCTGCTTTGGATTTTTAAAGCGTCTAAGTTATGAAAATAATGTAATTGATATGTTTTCATGGAAACAGTATGAAAATTACAATGTATAGATGATTTGCATGAATTTGGAGGCTACTTTAAATAAATTCTAACTGCTTAACATGTGTTAGATTAACTTAACATAACTTGCACATCACATTGTTTTTTTCAAAAATAAAATGCTATTGCAGATGAATTTAGACTAGACCAATTCTAAATCCAAAAACCAGCTTAGTGGGTAGCCTCACATATGTTAAATTAAATAGCCCATGTGTTTTAGTTTTTCCACGAGTTCTATTAGGTTTTCCCTATCTGCTAGATGGTTGAGACGCGTTATTTCTACGAAGTTTTGATTAGTTGTCGATACAAGTTCAAAAACTTATCATGAATCTGAATTTGCGACGCCAAGTTGTTTAGTTTGTGAAGCAGTTGTAGTTTTATAATATTCCTAGGTTCGTTTATTACTCGACAATACTCCGTAGTTCCGTGATTTTAGCTTTGGAGTTTTATCTGGGTGAGTTGTAATCACGAGCTTTTCAAATAAATATTCAAAATATTGTTTGTAAGATCCAACTAATGCTTTGCAGATTTCATTGTGCCTGCAGACCTAAAAGATTTTACTAAAAAAATATAAAGGGTAAAATATACAGGGTGAAAAAAGTCTGGAAACGGCTTAATATCTTTTTAACTAAATCCGTTAGAAAATTCAAACCTTTCACACCAACTTACATGTATATAAACTACTTTTTCCAAGCATTTTCACTTTTTTTATCTCTACTAGGGGACGACCCATGAGTAGGTACATAATCTTTAATGTAAGCATAGGTTGATATGCACATCATTTAAAAAAGGGTTAGTCAAGTGGAGTTCATTGCCGGAAACCGCGTCTCAAAAGGTTCATCCGTTACAAAATGGCGGCTGTTCAAAGTTCTTGTGGAATATACCTGTACATGCCTTATACTTGGTAAATACTCGTATTAAACATTAGTTTGAGAGCTTAAATTGTATTTTAAAGTCAAATAGCTCATAGACTAAGTTTTTTCAACCTTCAAAACAAATTATAAGGCTTGTGCAGGTATATTCCGCAAGAACTTTGGACTGCCGCCATTTTGTAACGGATGGATCTTTTTTGACGTGGTTTCCGGCAATGAACTCTACTTGACCAGACCTTTAAAATAATGTGCATATCAACCAATGCTTACGTTAACGATTATGTACCTACTCCCCATGGGCCGTCCCCTGGTGAAGGTACGAAAATGGTAATGCTTGCAAAAAGTAGTTTTCATACACGTAAGTTGATGTGAAAGGTATGAATTTCCTAACAAATTTAGTTAAAAAGATATCAAGCCGTTTCCAGACTTTTTTGTCACCCTGTATGTCTGCCATCAAATATTGTACATTAGTACAGTGAGCACCAGCAACTGAATATTTTCATGCTATTGTAGTTACATTGCTTTCAACCTAAAAATTAACTGAACTACATCATCGAAGTTGCTCAATAAAATACAGTACTATGAAAACTTGTTTGAAGGGCAAAAGAGATTAAACATCAACATAGTGTGTAATGTACAAGGTTTAACAAAATTTAATTTACTGGATCAACCTTCGTTTGTTACCCTTAAAATTTCAAGTAATTGCATGATTTATGACCCAAGCTGTTTCTTTTCCAGGTTGGGAGGCCAAGGAGGAGAGGCCAGTAGCTTTACTGACGGAGCCGGACTTTGTTGGTCCAATGTCTAACCTGACAGTTCCTCTAGGCAAGGAAGCGGTGCTGTCGTGTCTCATAGACAAACTAGGGAAATACAGGGTGAGTTAAACAAACCTGAAGGTAAAACTTGTATATTCAACTCCATAGTACCTACAAACAACAAAAACTGGTATTTTCTGATGTATCAATCTATGAATAACGAACACTTTAAAAAACCATATCATGTGCTTTAAGAGGTAAGAGACGTAACCGAACGATATAATTACAGTAAATAGCAAAAATACGATATTTGTGCAAGAATACAATTCAATCAATTACTGTCCAATTTCAAATACCAGTAAGATAAAATAATATATAAAAATACATTATATTCAAACAATCTATATAAACGATGACTTCATATGTCAATTTACATTACTTTGGAGGTTGATGGTTGTGGCCATAAAGCCATATTTGTAATCCACATCAACTGGTTGATGCTGAATTATTACTTGAACTACTGAGTTTTGCATAGTAAAGGTCTATTTTGGATGATGATACTGTGCATACGTGGTTTGAAACAGAAAATGTGCATATAAAAGTAAATAATTTGTATTTTTAACAAAGCTTGGATATAAATAACACCAATTATGAACTGTGGCTTTCATCTACAAAGTACTACTATAAATAGTCCAGTGTTGGTTTTACTATTTCAAAAGGATATTTATAAAATAATAGAAACTTCAGAGAACATACAGTTTAGCCTTGTGGTTAGCGTCTCGGACTTAAGTGCTAAAGTGTTGGGTTCAATTCCCAGCACATCTTAAAGGTGCTTAAGTATTTTTTTCTGTAACTCATCAAATTAAAATGTCGCTGACATAGACATCAAGGAAAACATAGAAAAATATGTCAACAAATTACAAAAAGCTTTAAATAGTAAAACGATAATTCAAGGCACAGCAAGAAAATAATTTAGAAAGAAACTCTCCTATTATTTTTCTTGACACAATGAAAAATGTTTATCTTTTACGTAACGTACATGGATATAGGATAAACAATTTTAAATCATATAGTGTTAACTTAACATTATCAAGGTGAATGTTGTATAAACCACCTAAAAACTATTGGTTAAATAGTTCTAGTAATAAACTTCCCTTAAAATCACTGGATTCAACAAACTTCTTTAGTGCTCTTAGTTATAATCTACTCACATTATAAGGAATTGTAACAGTCCAGTGATGCTTCCTGATATTCCTAACTGTTTTCCATGTCAGGTTGGCTGGCTCCGCGCCGAAGACCAAACCATCTTGAGTCTTCATACGAGGGTCGTCACACACAACTCCAGGATATCAGTGACGCATGACAACCATCGCAACTGGCAACTGCACATCAAACAAGTCAAAGAATCTGACAGAGGATGTTACATGTGTCAGGTTAACACGAACATCATGAAGAAGATGGTCGGCTGCATAGACGTGCTGGGTGAGTTGTGTCTATAGATAATCTTGTTATGCGTAAGCTTACAATTGTTTGCATAACTCTATGCGAAACGAAGACTTCTTATTTTCCGAAAGTTCATACTTTGGTAAAGGTAAATAATTCTATGGAAAGCCATACCATCTGAAAGATAGAGTACTTATTGTGATTTCATAACGTTTGCATGAGGGGATTACCGGCTCCATTCTGGAAAAAAACTGTTGATTTTTGATGGTTCAAATCTGGAACCAGCTAAGTTACACTTATCTTTTACACGTTGGGGTTAAAATAAGTATGATTGTGTTTTGCCTCGATGTAATGATAATGATATGATATTGTGATTTGTTTTACGCTATGAATTTCAAACCAAAGTGTTTTATTATCATTATTTTATTTTACCTACTTCCCCAAGTTGATCCAGTTAGAAACTTTAAATTGTTTCAATGAAGTTAACATTTAAAAACCCATTGTTAAGTCCAATTTTAGCCCATATGTTCGATAACATTAACATTGTATATTCCTGTTTATAACCAGCAAAGAGCATATAGCCAAGTATTTCGATGGAGAACTTAAAACGTTATTTCATGAGCAATTACCAAAACTTGAAAGGAATTTAACACGTTTGGGAAGTTTTAATATGCCCTTTTACTTACAAAACATCGACGTAAAAATACTTAGTATGGGTGTGTTGCTAGCCTAGTAGTTGGTAGACATCGGTCCGGGAGGGGTGGGTTCGTCTACTACACCCAAAAACTTATGGGTTTTTACTACAATCCTAAAAAGCGTTTGAATAACACCCTATCTATTCTCCTCTGGAAAAACGCACAGGCGTTGAAAAGAACAAGAAAGAAAGAAAACCTGTACTTCCAATACAATCGATAACCTAAAACACATTATCTCACAATTACGTGAGATACGGACGTTATTACGTCACAACTAACACCATCGGATTTCAAGACAAGTCTAACTACTGCGATGTTAAACGTTGGATGACATTTCCACGCAGGTAACTGCTGTTTCATCTCCCGCCATTACGATCACAGACTAAGGCACTTAAGTTTTAGTGATAATTACCGTTCCCTGTGCGACCACCTCGATTAGCTGCGCTGTTATAGAGTAATAGCTCCGGTGGAATTTGTAACACTTAAACAAAGGGTCTCGGGACTGTCTTTGTTTGAAGTGAACTCGGTTAGGAAGTTAGTTAACTCAAAGTGACAACTTGAAAGAACATGTATTTTATGTTTGAGCTTGCTCTTACAATGTACCGGATTTTATTTCGCTTTATATACCATTTCGCTACAAGAATGAATTCTGTTGTAAGTTAGTAGCCCTAGATAAAAAATAAATATGTTATCTACTTTCAGGTAATGTTAAAGACTTAACTATATATTTTAGTTATGTGGTAAAACAATCTTATTTCCAACACGATAATTGATTTTCATATCCCAATTATATTGTTTTTTTTTCGATTCGACGTTTATTACATTATTCTATTTAAAGGGAATTATAATATATTCTTTTTGAAGAGCGACACTCATAAAGCGACCAAGTTTCATGAGTTTTAATTATGTTAGACTCTAAAACAACGTCATTAGACAAAATGAATAATTTTATTAACTGAAATTATCAGTTCATAGACTATTTTACTGTTCAAGGTTTGTTTGAGGGACATTATGTAAAATTTTATATGTAAGTATGGGGTTGTGAAATAACAGCTAATGACGTTTTTTTCAGTTCCACCAGACATAATCAATGACGAGTCGTCTTCAGACACGTCAGTGCAGGAGGGAGAAAACGCTACTTTGATTTGCACCGCCTCAGGGCATCCGACTCCTAGAATCTTCTGGAGAAGAGAGGACCAGGATGGCATCATCATACGGAAGGGACCGAGGGACATACTGAAATGTTAGTAGACAATGAACTAGTACAGTCCCAGTAGAAAATGGTTAAGGGCTGAATTGGGATTTACTAACACAATAATGACAGAGCAGCCTGGTCTCTGAACTTAGGTCCCTGAGGTATCTGGTACAAATCCTATCGATTACAATGGATTTTATATATAAGTGATAATGCTGTGAACTCAATGCCTAACCTAAACTAAGTTAAAAACGGTCCTAAGCTTAGACCTTAGTGCCCTTGGATGTAAAAGTAGGTGAAACACAACAATTAACTGTCATCTTTAAAGGAATTGATAGTCAGTCCTAAGAAAAAATATGATCAATTACTTAACAGGTTGTATTGATCATGTTTAGCTACGCATTGGCTCTTAATTGTTGTTCTGATTATATATTTTACGATGTGCCTATCTGTTGAATCTGAATTTCCATACATGCCATAAATGTATCTAAAACTCTAATACTAGTAAGATTTCAATGTTGTTAAAGGCAATGGTTCTTTAAATAAACAAAAGAGGAAGGTGATTTTCATGAGTAGTTTCTATGTCCATATGTATTTAAGAGATGTATTGACACTGATGGATCCATATGTTTTTTTTTACCTTTTATTACTTTCATTGTAAGTTCGCGTATTTAAGTAAACAAATTACGATGTACAGTTGGTTAAGTTTAACATAATGTTAAAATAACGGTTTGCTAAATACAATTTTTTGTTTACTCGTGTAAGTTTAAGTTACAATAGTTCTTATTCTAACACATGCTTGTAAATAGACTCACCTTTTTAGCATGTAAGCCACGGTTAACAAGGGATTAGCCTACATAATAGTTTAACTGACAAATTAACATATATCATACGAATACGTACGTACTTACTTTAATTCATTTGGATTTGATATATTTAAATAAATACATACAAAAGAAGTTTCTTGTATAGGATAATCTTTGATTTGTTTTGTATTGTAATAGTGGACGCGTACAATGGCAGTGCGATGACCTTCTGGAAGGTAGACCGAAGGCAAATGGGAGTCTATTTCTGCATCGCCAGCAACGACGTTCCTCCAGCGGTCAGCAAGCGGGTCACCTTCAATGTCAATTGTGAGTTGCCTCTATCATTCAATATGGTATAAAACTGCTTTTAAAATATGATACATAGCACCTGGATAGTTTATTATTGATGTATAGCCCACCCTTTTACACAAATTACCCCTATAATTACTGTAAGGACACATATGAGCCTCTTCATCCCTACTTGTGCAAAGATAACACTTCATTTTTCCATCATTGTTTTTCTCTTCAAAAGATTTAAGCTTGTACCCAGCATGGTACCCACATTTTACAGTGACACTTGCACTTGTTCACTTTAAACTTGGAAATATCTTGCACAGGATGGTTCCCGAATAAGACTGCCTTTCAGCCTGTTCTTGTTCTTTGTTTGTTTACGTCGGCAAAATCCAAAATAGATAGTAAACATTACTTTCACATAGCAAACATCCTTTTTGGAAGTAAGCAATATAATGATGAATTTTCGCAGGTGACAAACACGTAACGAAAACATTTCACAGTAGTGTAGTGAGAAATACATTTTAGCTGTCAATATCTACCTGAACCTTTTCTCAAAATCACATTTTATTACTTAATGATTTACTTAAGATTTTCTGATGAGTCGCAATAAGAAAGCACACAACATTTTATAGTTTACATGTTAGTTATATATTTTTCTTTGAACGTTTCAGTTGCTCCGGTCATTAAGGTGCCCAACCAACTTCTAGGAGCTCCTCTGGGAACGGACGTGCAACTGGAGTGTTACGTGGAAGCCTTCCCAAACACAATCAACTACTGGATAAAAAACCGTGGGGAGATGCTCCTGGATGGGTAGGTTTAAGAACTAAGCAGCATTGTGAAAATAATAAGGGGTTTAACTATTACTTTTTTTGCTAAGGTTGTAATTATTTTTTTTTTCATTTGCAATAGATGGTGCTTTGATTAAATAGTGTTAGTCGATTTCTTGTTTTCTTAATATATTAGGCTTTATCTCAGTTTAGGAATTTTCGAATTTGACAAAATGTTACAAATCAAGAGAATTTTTGTTTAAGCATAAAAATATATAGTCTTTTAACAAATAACAGGTTGGCTATTTAAAGTTAACCCTTAAATATGAGAAACCCTTACTACTAGAAAACATTACCGTGTATAAAAGTACGAGACTGTTTGAATAGGTTTACGAAATAATGAAATCTATATCTATAAAAGAGGAACTATGTATGTGTGTGTGTGTGTGTGTATGTATATACGTTATGGACTCCGAAACCGCTCGACAGATTGTAATGAAACTTTCAGGCATTATTAAGCATCTTTCAAGGATGGTTCGAGTGAAGTTTGGTGCATATCTGTCAAAAGGGCTCTGCCCCAGAGGGTTTTAAGTGGGCCAATGTCAGACTTTTTGATCTACAATGTTTACAAATAAATATAATTTAAAAGCAGATGTTTACTTTTACCAACTGTTTTGTAGGTTCGAATAATTACAACATTCTGTATTAGCATTAGTCATGATTTGAAATAGTGCCACAGTGTTTCTACAGAGTGCAGCACAGAAAACTATTTTACTTTTGAATAATTCCAAATGTATTAAACCCCAATCGCAGCACACCTGTGCACTTAACAACGTTTAAATTCTCTAATGTTAAATATTAAAACATAAAGAACTTTATCAAAGTATTATAAACAATAAATGGGATGACTTTTTAAAATTTATGACAACAGCTAATTTGCAATCAAAAGGTGAGTGAGCGTAGCGAACGAACATCAACCTGGAGGTGAGTTAGCGTAGCGAACGAGCTAACCTGAAAACAAGTGAGCGCAGCGAACGAGCTCCAACCTAAAGGTGAGTGAGCGTAGCGAACTAACTTCAACCGGGACTTGATTGAGCCATGCGAATACTTATGAAGTTAAACGGGGCAAAGCCCGTGGGTACAGCTAGTGCATAACTAAATTTAAATGTTCAACAAGGCCAATATAATAATTTGTTTTTCTGACAAGCGCTTTCAGAAACTAGGTTTTCATCGTCATGCTGTGTTTACACTAGTACAAAAAGTAAATATTTCAGTTTTTTTTTATAAGCACTTAAATGAAAACACAAACGTTTATTCTAGAAATCACATGTGTAAGACTGCGTTGAAGAGCCTACTTATTTCATGAGTTTGCTGATAAGGGATAAAATGGTCAGGATCACATTGATGTCACATAAGTTACCATAGCCACCAAGCCCTTAGACTTAAGAGGCCTCAGACGCCTATTACTTTTATAGTATTTCTAGAAAGGGGGGTCTTTATTGGAGGTTCGAAATTTACTAAGCCAGACGAGTTTTTTGGTTGACAAGAATGGCAAATAATTTATCTGAACATGTTAACTTTGCATAATATGCAACCTAAAACGTAAAAGGGGTTAAATGTGTCTTAGGGGTTGGTGTTGGCTACGATTCCTGAGACCGTTAATTCCATCAGATTGTTAGAAATTAGAATAAGAACAGAATTAGAATCAGACGACAACTAACGAAAAGAGTAATTCAGTGATAATATTATTCAAACAGTTAGTTTAACATGTTTTTTATCCAAATAATTTAGCCAATATCGTGTGTAATGTTAGCAAAAGTATAAATATCAACAGTAATTAGCCTAAAGCTGAGGGTGATTGTAGAATAAGTTAGTTTTTAATGGATTAATGGATTACTGGAATGTTTAAAATTATAATGTAAAAACTCATATGCGTAAAACCATTTACTCTAAAAATGATCAGGAGCAAACTCGTTCTGTTTCTCTTTGTCTAAAGTCTTAAAATGTAAACAAATTAACAGAATGGAATCCTATAAGGCAAATGTAAAATTTTTATACGTTTGCACTCTCATTATGGAGAAAATTGATTTTTCCTGGCTATACCACTGGTCTAGAACTTATTTTTGACGCAGAATTTAGTTACACCATAAGTATAAATGTGATTCTTGGCACCGATTCCAAAGTCGAAGCAACAAGAGCTCAAACTTGATTTATTATATATATGAAATATTTTAATTATAGTCATAATGTAATCTATACACATTTTTAATATATAAGTTACATCACATACAAAAAAGGCCAATTCTCTGTGGTTATATTAAATAACACAAATGAAATGTAACGAATTATATTCCTAGTCCCATAACTTGCACATTTAAAATATATTTATAATATATATTGACAAATAATATTTCAAATATATTTCTTTTATACATTTCCAATATAAATTTTCTATGTGGGAAAATGTATTTTACTACAGTGTAGATGATAAACAGATAATTTACTTCTAAGAGTGGGATAAAGAGAATTTACCTTGTTTATTAATATTAATTTGGAAAATTAACACTTAATATAGAGTTTGCGTTTTGTTTGATTTATTAAAGGAAACTACAAAAAATGGGGTGATGTACTTTGCAGTTATTCAGTAAAGCGCTCTCAACAATTACACCGGAGGACAATAAAAACTGAACGGCTTTGAGCGGCACGATTGATTTAATTTTTACAACAGTCTGAGTTTAAGCCATTGTCTTAATAGCTCTAGCAAAAATCTTTTGCTGAGAAGGGGTTTGTAAATAAACACACATTTCATAATTAATTTATGAAAATTAGCTCAAAGTTTCAAAACACATTGAAAACATCTTGACCAATATGAACTAAGCCAATCATAAAGAATATCCTTAGGCAAAATTATAAAACAAACAATTATTACAAAATGAGAAAGAGGAAAACAGTATTTAAAAAATAAACACTAATATCCATTCTATATCAAATACGGTCGAGTAGATTCTAGAGTTGGATTGACAAATGGTGAGCAATTAAAGTACGGCAGAGTTAAACAAATGGAGTCCACTTGAGCCTCGAACAGCCCTACAGTAGAGGGGCACAAATGGCAGTATTATCTCATAATGTACTCCATCGCTCGCTTTACAAATTGCTTTGTTTTATTGCCGATACATTTATTGTGATCTCAACTTGTTCATCTCTTTCATTGACATTTATTAGTCAAGTAGAAACCTTTTATTGTCAAATTGAGTTTTTATTTTCATACTTTTTATACAGTATATAAACTGAATATGTTTGGAAATAAATCATAGTTTAATCTTATTTTATAACTTTGGATGTTTTTAAGGACATTGCAGAAATAATGTTTAGATGGATTAAGCTTTTTAGCATCAACATCTTAAAAGTGTCATACAAACTCTTACAAACCTTAAAAATCCGAATTATACTTTTTTAATATTTAGTTTATACCCAACAATCCTATGATTTCTAAAATAACCATTTATGATTTATTTATGTTGAGGAGTGTAACAATATCGTAAATAGTATAATACTCTAAATATTTAAGGAATATGATGTTTATGTCACAGCAATTCTATATGTTGAAAGTTTGTATATTTCGGAGTTGATGTTACAAAATATGTAATTGTTTAGTATCACTTGTAACATCTACCAGCAGGTCACTCAAAGTATTATTCATATTTTGCCCGAAATGTTTTTTTACGTCGTTGTTTTTAGTTTAATTGTAAAAATGTGTACTTTCCTGATTGATTTACTACGAAAATAACTGTTACGATACCTTATCAAGTTGTACATTATTGAATCAGAGTAAACAAACGAGCCAAAGCTTTCATTTAGTTTTTCAGTTGTTGATATCATCTAGTTACTGCGAACTGAATAATGCTGATTGTTTCAGAGTGAAGTACTCTATCCACGAGAACAGATCCAACTACAAGGTTTTCATGTGGCTGATCATCAGGCAGTTCAGCCAAGCAGACATTGGCACGTATAACTGCGTCAGCACAAACTCACTAGGTCGTGCTGAGGGAACTCTTAGACTTTACGGTAAGTTCCTTAAGGAATCAGAATGTAAATCAGAACACAATTAGGACCAGAATGATGTTAACCACATCCAAGTGCCACGATTAGAAAAGTCCCTTGAAGTTTATCATCTATCTTAAATTAAGTCAATTTTCTCTAATATTTCAGTACATATCTTTAAGTGATGTATATTTATTTTCTCTCTGTGAGAGCGTACTTCTGAAAAGCTTTTTTTTTGACATTAGGTATATTACTTTTCTTTTCTGTTAATATCTGGATTATTACGTGCTATAAATAATTACTTCAAAAAGGTATCAAACATATGGTTGAGATTGGTTAGTGTTGGTTTTACTTTCGTGTAAAGCGAAATTTACCTGTTTCACTTTGTATTTTTTACGGAAATTAAATAACGATACGTCTTATAACACTTAAAACATATATTTACGCTTATACTGTTATTCACAAGACGGTAAATATATGTTTTAAGTGTTATAAGACGTATATTTATTTACTTTCCGTTAATTTAATAACACGTACAATGCTGATCAAGAAGTAATTTTTTTTCTATTTGTATCAATATGTTAACACGCAAGATAAAATGTTTTCGTTTCCAATTCATTGATCGTTGTGTGTATCCTTTTCCAGTACAAACAATCCTCACTATAAAATAAGCTAAAAAAGTAACCTAGGTTACCTACCTACTCAAAAGATACGACCTATTATTCGAAAAAATGCGTTACTCATATTACACTAGATAAAAATATAAAATAAGGTACGCTACAATATTGTATAAGACATTTTGTGTACTTTAGTTTGCCTATGGTGTTTTGCATTTGTTTATTATCCCTTAACCTTTATTGATAGAAGTATTTTTTCCTCAATTAAAAAAATAAAAGATCAATATTCACCCTTAAAACCCAAAACGAAACAGTTTCACATTTGGTTATTTTTTAGTTCTTAATAATGTTTGTTTCTTTCAGAAATAAAAAATTATTCAAAGTTACAACAACGAGGTAAGCATTCAGCCTTTTTTGGAGGTGAGTTTTTGTTTTGTCAATGAATGTCAATCACTAGATTTCACTGAAATGTTCAAACCGTGTTTCATCACCTCCTTTGTAAAAATATAAAATAGTTTCATATAAAAATAAACTCATCTGTTCATAAATCCATGGCAGTTTTATTTTGTACTGAGACATAAAAGAATTCGAATTGAAGAATAACGTGTGTTTTATTTTCACGTAATACACAGTGTATAGTTTTAGGAATAAAACAATCATTAGGGAACCTGTCCTGTACTACCATAGATAAAAGTACTACCTAAGTTATAAATCACATTGTTTCGATATTGAAAATATTCGTATCGAAATGGTCACGTTTACTTTTAGAAGTAGTACTGTATAATCTATTACAATTAGATATTTTAGTCCTTACTTTAAACATGAAAATCATAATCACTAGAACCAAAAAACTAAACATACCTTTTACTGTATTACTCGATAATAATTCAATATCTTTCCAAGGTCATTGATACATTTTATTACCAAGTTAATATTTTCACAAAAAATGTTTTACTTAAGAACTTGTAAAAATGAATGTGACAATGTCTATTGGCAACAAGTTTAGACAAATTTATATTTACAATACAATACTAAGTGAGAAGATTGTAAGACTGGAATAAGTTTGTTATTGTTTAAACCCAATGATCAAAAGTCGATAAACATAAATAATCCCCTCTTAACGAAACTGTCTGTCCATTAAATGACAGACGGTTAACGAATTTACGAGTATTTGCATGAATTTATTAATTTTAACAACAATAATACGTACTGATTTGAAAACCCTTTCAGTTAACCTATGGCTTGTTTAAGTTTTTGAATAAAATTAACAATAAATGGCTTTATGAATATAGAAAAAAAACGGTAGTTGTAAAAACGTATTTACCTAATGCAAGTACTGTGAATATTCCAGTGAAAAACAGTGGCACTAAAGCCGTAATTTCACATTGTGCTGATTCCAAACTATGAACAGTTTTATTTATGATACATCATCATTGCGAATTACACGATGTTTCCAGGTCCATCAATATATATTTTCCTTCACTAAGGGCTTCTTTTCTTGCTCTATACCGATATATTCATTTGTCCACGAGCCTTTAGGCTCTCTGCTCCAAACTGGTAAAATAACTCAACACAAATCTTCTCGTTCTCAATACAAGTTATCCGTTCTCTTCGTAATTTAACTATTTATTTTCTTCGAAAGGTGAATGCTTAGTTTTTATTCTTAGTAATAGATTTCATAGCTATGATCTACTTAGCTAGCTAGCTTTCTCTAGCAAATAGTTTCATTATAAATAAGTTACTGTTATGTTTATGATATACCATAGCTTTTCGAAAACTATTAGAAGAATACAGTTTGACTAGTTTACATAAATACTTTTGTCTTTGTTTTATTTTATAAGATATACCTTAATTCAGCCTACTAGGTTTTTCAAACTTTTTTTAAAAATGATCTTAATTTACACTTTTGATAATATTTTGCTGCATTATGATTAGGTATATTTAACCGGATATGCAATAATTGTTACAAAGACTGTTTATTATACGAAAACAAACATTAGGGTACTAGTTTAAAGTAGGTCTACTAAATATAGTACTTGTATTGAAAAATGTATCTACCAGTTTATTATTATTTATTATTTATTTATTGGCCAAATAAATGCGAATGAGTGCACGGTATGCAATTAATGAGGTGAACAATTTTAACCTAGATACAGTTAAATGTTATAGCTGATCAATATTGACTAATCATTTATAAAACCGTTAAGCCATCTGAATAATTTAAATTTAAATGTTAAAGAGCTAAAAAAATTATTATAGAAAAAAGCTTGGGTCCCTTTCTATGTAACTACATTATTCGTATTACATGTTATTTAACTGGCTTTAAACCGATATAGTTAACACTATTATTTGTCTATACTAAATTAGCTTTTAGGGAATTTCCCTATAGGGAAGTAGCTATTACTTTAGGTGGCACGGTAAGACCTATGCCTGGGACCGGTTTACTTTCCGAATAATTTCCGTCCGATTTTGATGAAATTTGGTTTAACGGTGTAAGGTGGGATAAACTTGATTATTTTCGCGAAACAGCTTGATCGGACCATGGGAACGGGGTTTTACGGGGTGTTTTAAGGGTTAAAAATTGGTTTATCTAATTTTTGACCCTAAAAACACAAAAGTTTTACTGTGTTTCTTTAGACCTTTTTAAGAGCTTAAAATAACAAATAATTTAATATATCTAAGTGTTTTTGTACGATTATTGGCAACGGAGAAAATTAAAAAAATTGCAAATTTAAAACCCCTATATTATTCTTATGGAGAATATTGTAAAATGATGTTGTTTGCTTGTCTATAGATATATTTTGATCAAACTTTGCAAATTTATTTAGTTCATACTTAGCTATTAATATTTTACTAAAAACCACACTTTAATAGTTTCCTTGTAGCAGCAAACTTAGGTACTCGTTAAACTTAATCTTATTTTAATAGATTTAATTGAACATCAATTTAGACAAATGAAAATTCGATTAGTCGGCAGGTTTGTTGCGGTGTGTTTATTTTAAATAATATAAACATGGTTTATGATAAAGCAATAGTAAACACAATATCATTCAATAGACACGTTAATGTATTACATTGTTTGTACCTTTAAAAATAACTTGGCAAATGTGACCGACTTCTCGTCCATAATGTGGTTTCTGAGTTCCAAAAGTAGTTAGTTTTTATCAAACATGTGTTGCAGGATTGGCGGAAACCACAAAGAGCCACACTTCCGCTTCCAACGGAAGTCGAGAAAACAGCGATTCTTCCGGAAGCTGTCTGTTAGCGTCCTCTCTGCTGTTAGCTTCCGCCGCCATTTTGTCATCGAGGTAACCTTTTTGAAGGTGACATTTCCACGACTGAAATAAGTGTTTCCTTCCCAAGAGGACTCGATGGGTTTTCACAGTGTTGGCAAAAAGGTTTCTTCCAATTTAGAATTGAAAAGCTTTAATCCTTATTTTTATTAACAATCCTGTTAGGCAAAGGAAAATTCGCTGTAAAAAACAGATTATTAGAAGAAATAAAAAATATATAAAGACAGGTATTAATAATTTCTAATAATTTTATTTTTAAGATAGAAAAAATATTTGTTAGTAAAGATTTATTACAAAAAATATTTTATAATAAAAGAACCATGTTAAAACAATTTGTTTTAGTTATAAAAAAAAGATAATTTAATTAGTCTTCTTGCCAATCCTGTAACCTTTGAACATGTATCTTCTAATTAATGGTGGACCCTTTCTATACCACCTTCATATTGTTCTGTGATGCTTAGCAACTTTGTTCGAAATAAATTCATGTTAGGTGTACATTTGTAAAACTATAATGCTTAGAGCGTTGTTTTGAACTGAAAAAAACTTGTATATAACAACTAAAATGTGATACTATGTTTGTAACAGGGTGGTTATAGTTGTAGATGTATAGATTATGGTATAATCTTAGTAATCCATTGATGCAACAACCTAATCTGTTTTAAATTTATGTAATATATTATATTTGAAAAGTTTAACTGAATGTAAATCAAAGTCAAGATAACTTGGTACATAAATTATTCGCTGAGTTTATAAAATATAAAATAGTTCCTCTTTACTTTATTCAAAATAAACTAAATATACAAGTAGAGTAAAAACATTGTAACTATATTTTAAATACTGCATATTGGAAACATTTAAAATTATTATTGTATAAAAGTTCAAGTTACTATCTCATACATGTTTCCAACTAAAAACTATCATCTCATGGGTGTTCCTTTATATTTTGTTATCTGGCACATAAAAGAGTTATATTTTTTTTAATAATTGCATCAAAAACTGTACGTTTGTAAATATCAAAGGCCTAATACGAACTAGAATTATATGTAAATTATCATAGTTTTACTATATAAGTTGAAATATATAACCTTTAACATTTTTATATAAAAAAGGTCCTGTCAAATAGCACCTCAAGAAATTTAATTTCTACAGTACATGAAAAACATATCATGATGTAGATTTACGTAAATCGACAAAGTATATTACCATCCATTTATTCCACTTAATATTTTTATAATCACAGAATACTAATGAGATCAATCAACTGAGTTTCTGGTCAAATGTTTTTATTTCCATCGTATCATTATAAAATTGCCAAATAGTCATATTAGATTAGAGACAGGAAACAGAATAGTTCTAATATTTTCATTCGTTCAATGACCCTTTGTTTTTCAAACATTAAATATTAACTTTAAAATATAATTGAGAGCCATAGTTTATGTTTAGAAATACTTCAATGGTTTATTGATCAAGCTAAACCTACGTTGTATCGAAAAGAACTCTATGGTAATATTTAACCAAATCGTTTCTTTTATAAAGTGTTAAAACAAGTATTTTAAATTAAATACTATTATTAATATATATTATATTATATTAATAATATTATGATATATTATTGTTGATACGTTAATTATTTTTGTAATTAATAATAGCATAACGATGAGTATCGTAAGAAAAACTTAATAATGTAAAATCTATTTAAATTTGTCAATGCTAATTTGTAGATAGTCTAATAATGTATATATTGTAATTATGACACAAAAACGTGATTCATTAAAAACCATTGAATCCTGTATAGTACCAAATAAAGCTTGTAAATAACTAATTTTAAATTCTTTTGGCTTTGAATTTTCTTAATAATCATTTTGTAAGTTATTATGTAATTATCCGTAACTGCTCAATAACAATCTATTATTCACTAAACATAATTTTGTGAAAGGTTACTGTGAATTTTAAATTTTGAAGAAGTGTTCAATATTGTAGGTTACTTTAAGGTTAAGCCACTATTATTATTTTTAGAGTGAAACCTTAATGTGTATCTAACTGTTTTATGGATGTAGCTTAGTGTTCAAGCCTGTAAATATGCTTGTAAATAATCTTCCTACATTGTTGGTGCTAACATAGGCATCCAATAAATACTTCTTTAAAGTAAGTGATTGCATTTTATTCAATAAATTCTTAATCAATATTTTACGTTTTATTAAATTTTGGGAAAGTAAATAAAAGTTAGTCTAATAACACTTAAAACATATATTAACGCTAAATACTGTTAACTCACAAGACTGGTGTTGATTTTTGGGACGGATGTTGATATATAAAATTTGGGTGTCATGATGATTAGAGTGTCCAATCGAAATCAATCACCACTTACAATCTTTTATGCATATTTACTGTCTTGTTAGTTAATAGTATAAGCGTAAATATATGTAAATATTATATAAGAGTAGTTAGACATGTGTTTTATTTATTTTATTGTAAAACCTTAAAATACTATTCTGACAACAAGATTTATTATGGGGTTTTCAAATTATATTGTATGTTTAACAAGCTTTAAGATTTACAAACATTAAACCTCAACCAAACCAATTTTACTAAACTATGACCGTAAATATAGTTCCCTTGAACATTGAGGTTGCGGTAGTTATATTCTACCATTTCACTGAAGCGATGATTTGTTCAAATCTTACACTTTTGCACGTGCCCTAAAATAAAGCATGGCAGAAAACTCTCTTTGTACCTATCCATGAAACGGCATTTTTTTTTAGATGAGACGAAAGAGAGTTTTTTTAAAGTTTTTTTTTAAAGAGGTATAAACCCATTATGCTTTGTGGGCGTGCCGGGAATCGAACCCTTCCCTCCCGCACCAAAGTCCGAGACGCTAACTGATGTGTCCATTCCAAATGTACTGGCTTATACTATATTTGTTAATTTACATATGTTCTGTTCAGTTGTTATTGTTTATATGATGATTTTGATTAAATAAAGAAAACTTGAGTTACTGCATTAAAATGTTACATTACTAAAATATCTATCAACGGCGACGAGAATAATGGAAGATTTAGAAAAAATAGCAGAAGATGTAAATAAAGTTAGGAAATTGAAATCATTGCGAAGAACAGTCAAGTTTCAGCTTGGAAATGTAAAGAAGTATGTGGACAAAGGATCATTTTCTATCAATGAAATCCAAACTAGACTTGATTTGTTAGCTGAGATTAAATCAAAGTATGACCTAATTCAAGACAAGATCGACTTCTATACAGAAGAAGAAGATTTAGAAAACGAGCTAACTTACAGGGAAAGTATTGAAAACATGCTGATTGATACAAAAGCAAGATTAATGGATGCCCAATTACTTCATATGCCAAGTATTCAACATAGCTCTATTCCCAATCAAAATAGTTACACCACTGAAAATCTACAAGCTAATACACCGATTCCAGTTCTTCTTACTTCAAATTTGAGCTTTACTCCTTACGATGAAAGGGAAAACTTTTCTAATTTTGCCAGAAGACTGGAGGTTTTTTATGACTTTAAAAGGTATAAATGATCCTAAGTTAAAAACTTTTACACTTTTACATGCCTTGACACCTCTTCTACATCAGAAACTATACGACCTATGTACACCAGACAATCCTATAAATAAAGAGTATGGGGAGCTTGTGACCTTGCTTGGCAACTTTCTAGATCCTAAAAAAAGTATTTTGGCTTTACAACACATTTATTAGTCGAATACAGGAAGAAGGAGAATCTATTTCAAACTTTGCTACAGAACTAAAAAGGTTGTCAACTAATTGCAAATTCAACTGCGAAGCTTGTGGAAAATCTGTATTAGACATGCTTTTACGACTACAACTCATACGTGGACTTAATGACAAAGACATTAAATTTCAGCTTTTACAGAAATGTGACCACAAACAATTTGTAGAAATTCTTAACACAGCTACTACGATGGAAATTTCAAAATTTGAAAGTACTTTGATATGTCAAAAGAGTGGAAACGTAGACATAAATCAAGTAAAGTTTAAAGCTAGAAATAATATTACATCCAATGAACAAATTCACAGACCTAGAACAAAATCATACAACACAGGATCTTATACAAGTACTGGTAATAAATTTCGTGTATCAGATTTTGAGTCACTGAAAGGAAAATGCTACCGATGTGGGAATATATACCATAGAGCGAATGTTTGTCCAATGATTGATGAAACCTGTAACACCTGTGGAAAGATCGGACACATTTCAAGAGTATGCCTTGGTAAACATAAAAACAGTAAAGGGCAAGTTCATTACACTGAAAATAATGACATTTCTGAAGACAATATCCATGAAATTAATTTACTGTCTGACAAAAAGAGAGATGAAAAATTTCACATTGATATAAAATTGGAAGGTAAAAACGTTACTTTTGAGTTGGATACTGGAGCATCACTTACATCGATTTCATATGAAGACTACAAAAGACTAATTCCTTCCAAAAGACTTTACAAGACTGGTGTAGAGCTGCGCACCTACACAGGGGAGATCATAAAACCTAAGGGCGTAACATACGTAAATTTGACTATAAGGGACAGTGTTTCATGGGAAAAATCTTTGTCATTAATCAACATGTCGATAGGATTTTTGGGCGTGAATGGATGAGAGAAATAAAACTAGACTGGGGAGAAATAAAATCTATACACATGAATGAAACAAGGAAGCCGGAGCTGGACTCATTACTTGCAAAATATGAAGGTTTATTTGACAAAAACATAGGGTGTATTCCAAACTTTGAAGCAAAACTTAACTTGAAGGACAACTCAAGACCTATATACATAAGGGCAAGACAGGTTCCATATGCCATAAGGACAAAAGTTGAAAATGAACTCAGCCGTCTGGAAACCCAAAAGATTATCACCAAGGTAGACAACTCGGAATGGGGAACGCCTATTGTGCCTGTCATAAAACCCAATGGTGACATTCGTATCTGCGCTGATTTTAAAGTTACTTTGAACAAAGTCGTGAAAGACGAGAAATACCCAATTCCGAAGATTGAAGACATTTTTTACAATGAGTGGAGGCATATACTTCTGTTCTCTTGATATAAGCAATGCTTATTTACATATGAAAATGGATGAAGAGAGTAGCAAAATGCAAACACTAAGTACTCATAAAGGGTTGTTCAAAGTAAATAGACTGATGTTTGGAGTTAAGTTTGCTCCTTCCCTGTGGTAAAAATTCAT